TTTATGATTGTCATCTCTTCCTCTTGGATTGTTCCCTTTACAAGGATGTAGTGTCCTTCTTTGTCTCTCTTAATCAGGGTTGGTTTGAAATCCACTTGATCTGCAAAGAGGATAGTTACTCCTGAATTTTTTCAGGTTCCTGTCACATGGGCTGTTGTTTTCCACCCTTTAACTTTTAGTCTATGAGTTTCCTTTTTAAAATTTTTTTATTAAAAAAAATTTTTTTTTATGAGTTTCCTTTTGAATTAAGTGTGTTTCTTTTATGCAGCATATTGTTGGCTGTTGCTTCTTGACCCATTCTGCCAGTCTATTTCTTTTGATTGGTGAATTGAGACCATTATCATTGATGGTTATAACTGCTATGTATTGACTTATCATTGTCATGACTTTTTCTGTTTGTTGGATTCTCCCCCTTTGTGTTTAATTTCTTGTTGTGCCTGATGGATTCATTCTGCTGGGCTTCCTTGGGTTTTGATCCTCATTGTCTTTTCCTAGGATATTGTCTAAAATCTTTTGGAGTGCTGGTTTGGTAGTCACAAAGTTCCTAAGGTGCTCTTTTTCATGAAAGTATCTTATTTCTCCATCAATTTTGAAAGTTCGTTTTGCAGGGTACATCAGTCTGGGTTGGAGCCCTTTGGGGCTTGAAATACATCATTCTAAGCTCTTCTTGTCTTGAGGGTTTGCATTGAGAATTCTGCTATTATTCTTATGGGCTTTCCTTTGTATGTGATTTGTTTCTTTTCTCTAACTGCTTGTAGAATTTTGTTCTGCTGTTCAGTTTCTGGAATCTTAATCATTATATGCCTGTGTGTAGATTTTTTTATCTTGGCTAGCTGGAGTCCTATATGCCCCTCTTATCTGTATGTCAAGTTCTTTTCCCCTGCTTGGGAAGTTTTCTGCTATCACTTCTCTGAACAGATTTTTTATGTTGTCTGCACTCTCTTCTGTTTCTTCATTGACTCCGATAAGTCTTATGTTATTCTTCCTTGCATCGTCTAGCAGCTGCTGGATTGATTTCTCATGGCCCCTTACTATTTTAAAGAAATTTTTCTTTTCCTGGTTGCTAATTGCAGTCTTATCTTCTATATCTGAAATTCTGTCCTCACATTGGTTCATTCTGCTGGGTAAACTTTTAATGGAGTTTTTAATCTCTTCGAAATCTGTTTGCATCTGTTTTATGGATTCTATTTGTTTCCTATGTTGGGTTTCCATCATGTTCCTAAGCTCCTCTATTTTTGTGTCTGAGTCCTCTCTAGATTAATTAATCATGTCTTATACTATGGGCACAATCTCTGCTGTCATTTGAAAAATTATTTCTGATTTTATTTTTTCCAGATCCTCTTTTGTTGCCAGTTCAGGGAGTCCAGATGGATAAGTATCAGATTGTTCCATCTCGTTTCCCTTTGGGGTTGCTTTAGGTGATCTGTAAGTCTGGTTTTGAGACTTGTTTACGTGTCTTCTCATTTCAAGGGTGGGGGTGGGCTGCTGGCACACACGCGGCCCACCTCCTCGTCACTGGGGGCGGTGGTACGGTGGCCTGGAAGACTCCTCCTCAGAGCTGGGGGTGGCTCTGTTCCTTGGCCCTGGGGGTGGTGGTGGTATGGTGGCCCAGAAGGCTCCTCCTCAGCACTGGGGGTAGCTCTCCTCCTCAGTGCTATGTTTTATTTTAGCCTGTGCCAGGTACTACTTCTGAATAGACTCAAAGCTGGGGAAATTTAGGGACACTTATGGACATGACTCCACTATCAGGGGCATGTGCATAATGGGCCACAGTTGTGTAAGAGTGACCTAACACACTCAACCACACATGGTCAGCATGATCACAGTCTTGGATCAGGTGTTTTGTCTCACCATGTCCCAGTAAGCTGATAATAGATACTACAACTGCTGTGAACTAAAAAACATTGTAGCTGTTTAGTAGCTGTCTTTGCTGAAAGAAAAAGACAAACAGCTCTTGAGCTGTGGAGCAAATGCTCCAGCTCTCCTGCTCTGATGCTGCCGTGATGGTGATAAATAGCTCATGTGTTGTTCTTTTTTTTTTTTTTAGTACCAGGGATTGAACTTGGGTCCTTGCTCTTGTGAGGCAGGTGCCAGAACCACTGAACTAAATCACTGGCCCTTGTGTGTTGTTCTTTATTGGGAAATTAATTAACTCACTCATAGGACAAAGGACTATATGGAGTAATTTGTGAACCCCTTTCCAGGTGCCCCTGGGGAGCCTCAGGCTTGACAGCCTGCTAGAAACCAGACTGTGAGACAAAGTTTTTAGCATGCCTGTGGATGATTTTGAGAACCAATACCAAATAATAGGAGTTGGGAACTGGAAAGAATAAAACAGGATGGAAAGTCAATCCAAGAAAACTTTATAGAGCTGGTGATTACAATAGAAAAGACAGTTCACTGTCACTGGGAATCCTCTGAGGGTCATGTAGAATACTTCTCGGACTTGTCCACCTGGGACATAGAAGAATGGGAGATTTATCTAATGGCCTCTGTTCCCAAGTGTTCAAGGATTGTCCCAGGGATTTTAAGCCCCAGGTGCTTCCAGGTTTGTGTATGCATCAGAATGGCTGTGTAGATGTCCACAGGACTTCCAGAGAGGCAGGGAAAGCCTTGGATGAAAGGAGAGATTTGTGGTACAGTAAAGGTGAAGTGTTGTGAAATTTTACTCATGTGCAGCTGGATGTCCAGAAATGGCTAGAATAAAAACAATGTAATTCTAAGTACTCTTCAGTAAAGATTTAGCTTCTTCTACAAATGTGCCTGTAGATTAAGACTGGCAATATAAATATTCTAGCTACTAAGCTTTGTTATCTTGTGGTATACACTAACTTTATATGTTTATATTATTTAGATCTGGCCACAACAAAAGGTCTTTAGATCTACAAAATAGGGGGCAGATCCAGGTTTTGAGTAAAAAATTTTATTGGCCCACTGATCACAAAAACATAGATATTTTTGTTTAGTATATTCCTTTGCCATTGTTATAATTAAAATAAGAAAACATTAGATTTCTTTGACAAAACAACTAAGATTCTATATGGTCTTAAACTCTACTTGCTGTACTTGGGCTAATACCTCTGGACAAACCATGGTTAATGCTGAAGATGAAAAGTTTATGTCCAGTGGTGCTTAGTTTGTCTGACCTCTGCAAGTTTTTGAGCTAGTACTGGTATTCATCAATGTTCTATTTTTAATATTTAGCTCTCACTTATATAAAATGGATACAAAATTAAGCTTAAGCATCAATGACTTGCTAATGTTCTTGTCCCTTTTCCAGACTACCAAAATGATGGTTCATCAAACAACAAAACCCATCTTCCTTTGTCTCTTTTAGATCAATGAGGATGAGACTTTTGATCCCCACCTAGTCAGCATTCATGCCCCTCCTGTGCCTGAAGCAGTTAGAAGAAGATGGACTCCTGGCCCTTCTGCAACCCTTAAGAATAAGGAGTCAAAGTCTTGGGGTGAGGGGATGGGAATAAAGTAGGATGGAAGAAATAAAGATAGAAAGTAGATGAGGAGAATCATAACTAAAAAATTGTACTTTTAAAAAGACTGCAACTCCAGGACACAGTCAAAGTTACCCAAGGTAATCCATATCCATATTATTTAGGTTTGTTTATACTTCTTTTCTTCTAGGTCCATCACATACAAAAATCCCTTAAAGATATATTACATCCATAAATTAATTTAGTTGATAAAATAAAGGGCAGAAACTGGATCTTAAAGGAAGAGATTGAGAGTTCAAATAATGTTTTCAGGCAAAACAGATTACTCATCCAAAAAAAAAAACCACTGATAAGGCTCATGCCTTTAACTTCCAAACTGAGCCATTGTCTTTCTGTAGGTAGGTCATCCTTTTCCTGTAAACCAGGACCATGACAAAACTTCCTACTGTGTCACAAAGTTCATAGATTTCCACCACCAAAAACACACAAATATTACCAGCTCCAGACTCTACCCTCCCGTCTTGAGGGCTCACACTCTATTTTTTTGAGTGTGCACTTTAAAAATTCTGCCTATAAATCCCTTTATATGTGTTTTTAAAAATGAAGCAAAACAAAACAAACAAACAAAAAAAGAGTGTCAGTTGGGTGTAATCTACTATAACATTGAGATACAGTTTGCATTTATATAAAATTCCATATTTCTCTATTTCCGTATTTTGTAATGTCAGAGATAAATTGTTATCTACTAGTTCCATTGTATGAAAGTTGAAGCTGTACTAATGCATACATTCCACAATGCAAAGCAAAATGGAGTTGTATGTCTTGGTCAGAATTTTAAGGTCGAGGAAAAAAGCAGGTGAGTATTACATTGTGTAAGGATAAACAATAAAAAATACAAAGTAGAATAAAGATTAAATCTCTTTGCTTGGTCAGGAAGACTTTCTAACATTCTGCCAAGTTTGTAAAATAGAGCAAGTTTTAGATTTTGTAGATCTGTGAAAATGATGGTAATAAAATACAAGACCAGGCAGAAAGTCTTAACACTGGTAGTTTAGAAAATAAGTAGGTTAAATCCCCTATGTTGCAAAATATATAATTTGTTTTGTTTCCTCCCATGTTTTTCTGTATTTGGTTGACATAGAAGATAAGTTTAGATAGTATAATTTCATTGGTGTGTTCTATTGCAATATTAGTGGTTTTAATACAATGTTTCTGGAGTTGATAAAAGTCTTATAATTTAGTTTTTATCAAAATCTAAAAATATTAAAAATAAAAATATAAGTACATTTAAGGCCATCAAATATGTTAAAGTGGTTGAGTATGGTGAATTAAAATTTTAAGAATTGTTATCTATAATACGTTTACATGATCTTGTAGTAATAATTATAAATTATCAATCCAGCAATCACATATTAAGTGCTTACCATGAATGACTACAACTAGAGAGGAATTCTTTTTTATTCTTATGTTTGTTGTGTCCTCCTATTATAGGCAGCTCAGTTAGATAAAAATTAATATACAATCGGAGAGGGACTGGGATCTCAAGAAAGTCAGTGAAAGGTGGAGACATCAGAATTGTGGCTGGAGGTGGATCTGAAGGAGGCCTCAAGATTAAAATCACAATGGCCAGATTTACATACTTCCCTCTGAATGGAAATTTGTAATAGTACACCCAGTCCATTAAATCCAGACATGCATCAGGCATCCAGGTGGGCCTGGATCCACCCCTCCCCCCAAAAGTTCCTGTTTCAGAAGTTGTAGATAAGCAAAGATTAATTATGTCAGCCATATGCCCTTGCTACATGCCCTAACTTCCCTACTATATCAATATGAGCTAAGCAGCTATACTTATAATCTTATTGGTTGATTGTAGTTTGACCCATGTTGTGCCACATTGAGACTTTGCTGTATAAATTACCCTGACAAAGGGTCTTGGAAGGTGCCCACTTTGGGGACCCTCCTGTCTCTCAGGAGCTATTCCTGTTCCACAGTAAACCTTTGCTACTCTTAACCTCCTTTGTCCTTTGGAATTTTTAACTCTGATCTCTCTTCTAAATGACTAATCACTACTTTCAATTCTGTAAAAAAAAAACCCTAATCTAAAAATCTTACCGATATCTCATATTTTTATATAATCTTAATACTAGTTATCTTATTAATCAAGATATATGATTTGCAAACAAACTGTTCTGTGAGTTTTCTTTTTCTTTTTGATTTCCTTTGAAATAAAGAGTTTTTAATTTTGGTGAAGTCCAATGGATCTATTTGTTGTTTTGTTACTTGAGCATTTGGCACTATATTTAAGAAAACCATTGCCTATGTAAGACGCCTCAAATTTTATATAGCCTGAGTCCAAGCCTGGGGTTAGGTGCCATTTCTGTGGGCTCCTACTGACACCCGTAGAATTGAACACCCTGTACCCCTACTACCTATTAATGTGCCTGGCACCCTCTCTAACTCCTAGGGCAGGTTGTTGCGGTCACGGTTGTGTGTTCACAGCCTGTTGGATGCTGGTAGGAAGGAGTATCCCATAAATGTTGGGCATCAGAGAGAGTGTGTTAAAGGATCAGATCTTGGGTAACCTAGACAGCGAACCCGGGCACACATAGAGAAATTTTGGGGAGATCTACTGGAGGCCAAGTTGCTATCTGTTACTTTCACTTTGGTGTTTCTGTGATTTGTATTTGTTCTGTTATCACAAGTCTGGTGAGTTTAAAGGGGGAAGCAATGCAAATGAAATTAAGCAGTGGTTTCAAGTGGTGAACTTAGATTGCTAAAAGAATACCAAAGTATTCTCAACTGTTTTCTCCTTTTGTCTAAATACAACCTCTAACAATGGCTCACACTGAAATAGGGAGGGCTTACCACGTGCCAAGGACTGCCTGAGACACCACTAGTGTGTACTACCTCATTTAACCCACACAGCAATAGCAAAAGTTAGGTTCTGGTATCATTTCTGCTTTGCAGAGAAGAGAGGAGCTGCGTGCCAAAGCAGAGCTACAGGTCGCTTCTCACCTCTGTGCCAAATGCAGTCTCCGTTTCTTTCTCTCTGGGACTTCGCAGGCGCCTGGGTCTCGGGGTGGGAATTTCCTGCAGCAATGCACTTTCTGCCTTGGACTGAGAAGTCGAACAGAAAATTACTGCTACATAACCCCAGGAATGCAGTGGAAAAAACCTCAGTCACCTTTCCATCTCAGCACAGGATAATCAGCAAAAAATGCACATTTTAAAAATGCACATCTTTCAGGGATGGGAGCGGGGTGGGGGCGAAGGGCTTAGAAGAATGGCATTAATTCTCAAGCACAAGTTTCATCCTTGCCAATGCAAAACACTGCATTAACATTTAGAAGGAGAAAGAAATTGCGTGGCATTCAGATCCATGCAGTTTGGCGCACACGAAGCAAGCCAGCAAAGCCCAGGAGAATGCCGACAGCCCCAAACTGGAGCACCCTCCCGTCTGCTCACCCTTGCGGCTTGGAGCTTCTCCCGCATGCGCTCCCTCATGGAAAACTCTGCGAAGCCCGTTCTGGATGTTGAAGGAATTGGAGGTAAGCCTTAAAAAAAATAAAGGAAAATTACTTTTGTTTTCCAAAGGGAAAATGAAAATTTTAAAAATGTGAGAATGTAATTTTATTTTGCCAATCCAGGGCTTCACGCGAGCAACCATGAGATGTGCTGCAGCCCCGCTTTGGATGCAGGAAGGTGTGTCTTGGCTTGGAGGCTGACAGGGAAAATGGCTCTGCCAGGACTGTCGCCCCAACTTAACCAAGAATAAAGGGAATGGCACCTGAGGCCCAACTCAGATTCCACTGGGGAGAGGCCCTGACATTCATGGATTGGGAACAGACGCCTAAGGAGTCAAGCCTTTCACTTTGAGCAGAGAAATCTCTTCTCCAGGCCTTGGCCACAGCCCCGCTCAGTGGCATAGAGATGCAGTGTGTTTTGTCCATAGTATGAAATACGGACAACACATCTGGAACCAGTGGGCAGCTGATGTGTGGCAGGCACTGTGACACACGTCAAATGCACCGTCTCCTCGGTCTCCTCCTGGCAGACCCTGGGTGTCCCTGACCCAGGCAGGAGACGACACAGACTCTGAGGCCCTGTGTGGTAAGTGCCTGGCTCCACCATCACACACGCAGCATGCAAAGTGTGTAGGATCTGGTCCCAGCTTTACACTTCTGATGCTCTACAACCTGACAGGAGAGGTGGCGATAAAAGGACTGATCAACAGAGTGCCAGCCTCATGGGAGCAGAGTCCCTACCGGGAAGGGGGGGCTGGAGTTTGGGGTTCAGTTGGGGAGCCTGAGGTGTCCCACAGAGGAGCTTTGGCTCTGCTCTCCAAGCTGCTCGGAAGACAGAGGTGAGGAGGAGGCTGATGCACCTGGGCTGCAGGGACAGCAGCTACGGGCCCAGCTGGGGGGCCCCTGTGTGACAATAAGGAAAGGGGTGAGTGAGTGTGGCCACAGGAGGAAAAGTACAATAGGCCTTGAGGTGGTCGGTAGGAAGGGGGCAATGGACAGCGTTGAGCAACAGAGGCAGAGGTGGCGACTCCTAGAACTTCTTAGAGCTGCAGGCTGCGGGGCTGTTCTGCGAACCCCAGCTGCGGCCCAGCCATTTGTGTGGCTTAAACTCCCTCAGGTGGGAAGACCTTGGTCTGAAAAACAGCGGCCCACAGTGTCCAAGTCCTGACAGAGGCAGTCAGGAGTGTGAGGCTGCAGAGAGAAAGGTGAGGGGTGAAGCCAGGCTGGGAGGTAGCGGGGCAAACTTGTTTGGAGCCAGCATGAGTCTGAGGTGTCTGTCCAGGGCTCTGCATGGCAGCCTGGGCCCAGGCCCAAAGGTAGAGTTGGGAGTACTTTGACCAGGGAGAGCACTGAGGATCTGAGAAAAGCTGCTCTCCAGAGGGAGGGAAGCTATAAGAGAAGGGGCCAGCACCTGGAGACAGCGGCATTGCTCAGGGAGGAGGCCTATGTCTTCGTCTTTGTCCTTCTGTGAGACAGAAAGATACAATGCACTACCTATGCCATGCTCCCTTATTTAATGCCTGCTGGAAGTGGGACACATTGATGGCGTTGATTAGAGTCTTGCATGTGTATGAGGAGATTCAAATCTCTTTAAATTTTCACCAGCTCAATAAAATGGCCTTCAGCATTCATACCTTTTTTTTTTTTTTAACTCAATTAAAAAACCTAAGTCATTATTTTCCATTTTGAAAGAGCATATAACCTCAGTAGATTCTGGCTCTGTGACAGCAGCTCAGAATCCAGAGACTTCTCCTTCATTGCATAAGTCACATTTGGAATTTACAGATGTGTAAATTCTAGACCTGCAGCGTACTCATCCTTGTAATCCCAGCACTAGAGCGGCTGAGGCAGAACATTCATTGCAAGTTCGAAGCCAGCCTGGTCTAGTGGGAGACCCTGTCTCAAAAAACCAAAACCAAAAAGCAAATATCTGCTTCCTTCCCAGATTTTAAGGTTCCGCCACATAGGGCAGGCACATCCCAGGAGTCACGGAGCATGGGTGGCGTGCTTGGACGGGAGGCGAGAGAGGCGTCTAGATGGGGCCCCTAGAGCCTGCCAGGCTATTCCGTGGCGGGTTACCCACAGGGCTCTGACATCCACCCCCCCCACAGATGACCCCTTTCACAGTTAATCGCAAGTTTCTTTGAACATTTAAAACCATCTTGCTTTTTTACTCCCACCTTTAAAAAAAAATAAGACTCAGCTTTTCTTTCTGCTCGAAACAGTTACTCTTTGTATGTGGCTCATTAGATAATTTTGTGAATGATTCTTTAAAGAGGGACAAGATACTTTATTCAACAACATCTCTTCTGGATAAGAAAAAAAACCCCTGAGTGTCTTTAGTATTATTTTGTAAAACCTTAACTATTTTGATACAGTAAAAAGTAACTCTTGCCTAATTTTTAAAAAATGATATTTATTTATTTAATTTTTAAAAAATATTATTTTATTGGTACATTTTAGGTATGCAGTATGACATTCATCATTGGAAATTTGCACCTTTACATAGTCTCTCTTGGTTCTTATTTTTCCCCCTTGCCCTGCCCTCCCTTCAACCCCTCTATCTCTCCCTATTTACAAAGACTTTGTTTCCATTTTTTCATTTTCTCATATTAATTTCATTCCCTTAAATAAAGGGTATTTATTTATTTCTAACGGACATTACTTTGTGGAGCAGTTTTAGGTTCATAGCAAAACAACGCCCCCCTCAAACAAAAACAAAACCAAAAAACCCACAATTTTTTTTAAAGACAAGGTCTCAGTATGTAGCCCAGGCTGGCCTCAAACTTGGAGCGATCCTCCTACCCCAGCCTTCTGCATGCTGGGATCATAGGCACACACCACCATGCCTGGATCTCAGCAAAACTGAGAGGCAGGTGTGGAGCTTTCCTAAATCCCTGATCCCCACACGTGCCCGGCCTCCCCCACTCAAGTGGCGAGTACATGAATTACAGTCCATGAACCTATGCGGACTGTCCTCACCCCCAAGTCTCTGTCTACACACGGCTTCCTCTCTGGGCTGCGTGCTCCATGCTTTGCAGGAAGCTACGGCCTCATCTGCCCAGCACAGCACTTGCTGGGCAGTTCCAAGGCCCTGGAAAATCTCTGCTGCTGCCGTGAGTCCCACTTCCCCTTCCTTGCAACCCCTGGCAATCAGAGATTTTCTTTGCAACTATTTTTTTTTTTAGAAAGTCTGTGCTACTAAAAGACATTTAGAGACTTTAAAGATCTCCAAATCCGATCTGTGCTACTACTTGATGACACGACACTGCCCCAGCTAGGAGGTGACCAGCTCGAGGGCAGGACGCGTCTGGAGTGTGCTGTCCCTGGCATGCGGTGGTGACAGAGCATCCAGGGGAACACAGGGACCAAAGCGCGGGCATGTGGGACACGGTGCTTAAGTTACTTCAAACAAAATGAATGCAGTCGTCTCTGGTGATGGCGACTGTTTCTCTACTACTGCTAACACGACACCCGTGAAAAGCCACGGGTGCGAATCCACTCCTGTTGACTTAGCAACTAGTAGGGATTAAGTACATTGTTATCTTGGTAGAAAATGGCAGTTTCTTTAAATAGCTGGAAATACAAAGACAGCCCTCTTAAGACCTTTCTTTCCCCTAATTTATTGTCATTTACTCCACTCCCAGGTATGTGATCCCAAACTGGGACTAATATCATTAAAAAAAAAAAAAATCAGGCAAAAAGTACTTTTTATTATATCAAATTTTTTTAAGGTTTAAAAAACAATATTAAGGAAACTTCAGCTTCTTTATGCATTTAATAAACTATCTTGCCTGTCTTTAAAAAAATAATTCGCATGGACAAGTAATAACTTTTTTTTTTGGTACCGGGGATTGAACTCAAGACCTTGCGCCTGTGAGGCAGGTGCGGGGTCACTGAGCTAAATCCCTGGCCCAAGTAGTAACTTTTTTTTTTGTTTGTTTTGTTTTGTTTTTGGTACCGGGGATCAAACTCCGGTCCTTGCACATGCGCAGAAGGCGGCGAAACCACTGAGCTAAATCCCCAGCCCAATAGTAACTGTTTTAAGTAGACAGTGACTGGCGAATCTGGCCCGCTCTGGGGAGGGAGGAGACCAGCTTTCCCTGCTGAGGGAGGTGTGACTACTTCACGCTCACAGAGAGGCGCCTTCCGGAAGTGCTGTGACAGCAGTGGGCAGAGCCAGCTTGACTCAAGCTCTGCATCCTCCGGGTACCGGGAAGGTGATGGGAATAGTTTATAAAATTAGTGAAAATTCTTATGGATAATGAGAGAATTTTGGGACATTCCATTAAACTTTATACATCGCTTCAATGCAGCATGAATATGGACTTTTTTTTTTTTGACAAAGTGATGTTTTTCATCAGAACAAGCAAAGATCTAATGTATAGGTTTGCACTTGCTGCTCGGAAAGCCCCTTAGCCCCACGATTACATCAGCTGCATGTTTGCAAAAGGCTTCTAGATTGCTACGCTTTGTCTCCTCTTCCCTAACATCCGTACTCACTGCACCCCATTCTCTCTCTTTGCAGGTTTAATAAAATGGTGGACATTTTCCATTTTCTTCTTAACCATTTCCCTTATACCTTCAAAAGACACACCATGTGCTCCTAATAAAACAAGCGTTGCATTTTGAAATAATTTTTTAGTCTTCTCACTGAATGCTCCCAAATGATGTGATCTAGGATCCTGATCCCTTGCCTACTTTTTTCTTTAATAATAGCTTTGTTGAGAGATAAGTCACCTACTACAAAGCTCATGATTTAAAGTGTCCGATTCAGTGGTTTTTATTTATCTATTTAGCAGTTGACAGATATTTGGGTTGTTTCCACAATTTGGCTGTTATGAGTAATGTTGCTATGAACATTTGTGTACAAGTATATGTACGGTCATATGTTTTCAATTCTAGTAGTTGAATTGTTCAGTCATATCCTAATTCTGTTTTGAACTTTTTGAGGAACTACTAAAATATTTTCCAAAGTGGCAGCAGCATTTTACATTCCCATCAGCAATACACAAGAGTTCCAATTTCTCCACATCCCTGCCAACACTTATTATTATCTGTCTTTTTAAATGATAGCCACCCTGGTGGGGGTGAGGTGATATGTAATTGTGCTTTTGATTTTCCTTTCTTAATGGCTAATGATGTGGAACATCTTCATGTGATCATTGGCCAACTGCATGTACTTTTTGGAGAATGTCTATTCAAGTCTAGTCCACTTTAATATTGGGTCACTGGCATTTTTATGTCCTAGATATGGCATCCTTGAGTTGCAAATATTTTCTCCCTTATGTGGGCTGTGCAGAGCTTTGATGGCATCCAGGGAGGAGAGCTGAGGGACTTCTCAGGCCTGTTCTGGGAATTAGGGGGGCTGGTTTCAAAGCTGTGCATGGACATGGACAGACTATTCCCCAGTTTTTCCTCTGAAGAGTTTTCATCAGCCTTTTGTAAACCTCAACTGGTGATTCCTTGCCCGATGCTGCGGTGCTGATTTAACTACTGGCTTTTGACAGAGGTCCACTGGATATTTGTATTTGTTCTCACAGAGTGAGCTCTGATTCAGGTAGAAGCTTTGGGAATAGAGCTTTTCAGTGAGCTAAAATATACAGGTCAAATAGTGAGAGTTCTCGGGTGAGAAGGCTTTGGGGAAGCTCCGAAGGCTCCCCCAGCTTCCTGAGATGCCAAGGTTGTGATTTTTCTGGCTACCATGATTGTGAGGCTGTGGCGCTGAGTGATGGGGACCAGGATCAGGGAAAGTCCCACATCACAACGCTCGCTGTTTCTACGGGGACTCACTTTCTGGAAAATCCCGGATGGCTGCCAGCTTTTAGCTAATTTCCTTAAAAATGTTTATTTTGACAGTTTTTGCCAGTGTCCTGTTTGTAGTGCTGCGGAAATGGGTTTTCTAAGGCCCTGACCTACTATTTTGGAAGTGCCCATCCTTCCCCTCACTTTCAGGAAAATCCCTGCCCCTCCAGCCAGGCTGGTGCTCTGTGAACCTCACTGCCTGGACCAGCACTGTGGCATGGCGTGGAGTTCAAGGGACTTCTCTGGACCCACCCCGGATTTGGAGACCGAGGTGTTCTGAAATTTTAACTGGTATTACCTGAATATACACAGATTATAGAATAAGCAAGTGTGGTGACCTACTTGATTAATTATCTCCTTCTTCAACTTTTCTACCCTAGATAAAGAATATGCCTGCCAAATTTTGATTTTTAAAAACTTTCTATCATTCATAATTACAAAATTTTAGAGTATGTTTCTATGTTTTCATAACTTTCATTTTGTTGAAAACTGTGACTTCAATCAAAAATTCAATTTGTTAACAGGGTGAATAATAAAAGATTTTTAAGCATAAAAATAATACAGTTCTGCATAGGAAGTAGAACGAAGGAGTATGAGAAAAAAGAAAATGGTATGAAATTTATTATATTTTCATTATTTCTCAACTTATTTATTAATTTCTAAAATAGATGATGGGGATTATCCAGTCACTGTAACATTTCAATTCTTTTGGGGAACCTTAAAATTGATATAATACTTTTATCTTTAAACATGAATACTTATAATAGGCCATATATTAAATCTCTGGCAAACATTTAAAAGCATAATTAAAATTTTCTTTTGACAACTTAAAAAAAATGCAACAGGGACCTAATATTTCCATGACTGTTGTAGGGGTGGTGGACAAAGGGGTTTGAAGAATGCTGGCCTGACCTGTGTTTTATTTCTGCCTCTCCTCTCTAAAACTCAAACCCTTACGTAGAAACCCTCCCACCTTGGCAAAATTCCAGGGATGGAAATGTGAACCTGGAGTGCGGGAGCAGCACCCGGCAGAAGCCAGCTTGATTCAGGAGCTGAAACTGGAAAGGAGAAGAGGTTGTATCCCGCGGGGCTGGGAGGAAAGCTGTAATGACGTGGACAATGCAAGGACCTAAAGTATCACCAGCCACAGTCAAAGCTCTGGGGACACAGGATTCTGCCAACAAGCAGGGAAAAGCCAGGGCAAGGAAGGGGCCAAATGGCTAAGGACAGTCACCAGTAGGGTGGAAGAATGAGGTGGTTACCCACTGAAGGGTATGAACGGAGGGTGACACAACCTGATTTTTTTTTTTTTTTGGTACAGGAGATTGAACTCGGGACCTTGCGCTTGCGAGGCAGGTGGCAGAACCACTGAGCTAAATCCCTGGCCCACAACCTGATTTTTATAAGATTTCTCTGGCACCTTGGTCAAGAATGAGGGGAGAATGCAAGCAAAGAGACCAGTTAGGAGGCTCTCGCAAGACCTAGGTGAGAGATGAGGGTCTAGGGTCGGGATGGGGGAGCGGAGGGATGGCTACATTTTAGGCTCATTCTGACGGTGGTGCAGATGGGCTTGGTGGGTGTGGGCGGAGAGGTGGAGGAATCCAGGAGGCTGCTTCAAGTCCTCCCCCAAAAAGCTCCATTAGGAAGATGGGAAAGGCTGTAGGAGAATCAGGCTTATGTTGGCAGAAAGTGATTGCTTTCAGGTGCATGAAACTTGAGTCATCTCAAAAGCGGCCACAGACCTAACTAAAGAGCTAAAACTATAAACCTTCTAGAAGAAAACATAAGAGAAATATTTCAAGATCTTGGGTTGGGCAAAGAATTTTTAGATACAACTCCAAAAACACAATATGTGATTAGAAAAAAATAAATTCGAATCTATCAAAATTAAAAACATTTATACTTCAAAAACATCATTGGAAAAATGAAAAGACAAGCCATTGACTTAGAGAAAATACTATATTTTCAAGTTATTTATCTGATAAAGTACTTGTACGTAGAATAAAGAACTCTGAAAGCTCTATAGTAAGATAAACAGTTTAGAAAATTTACCTAAAAGATGTACAAATGGCTAACAATAATACAAAAATATTTCAAAATCATTAACCATGAGGGAAATGCAAGTTAAAAGCACAATGAGATACCAGTTCATATTCACCATAAAGGCTATACCTGTATACAGTCCCTCTTAATCTTCAATTTCAGTTACTTGTCATCAACCACAGTCCAAAAATATTACATGGAAAATTTAAGAAAAAAGCAATTCACAAGTTTTGAATTTCGTGTGCTTCTGAGTAGTATGCTAAAATCTCATGCCATCCAGCTGTGTCCCACCGGGACACGAAGCACCCCTTTCCCATGGACCTGTGCTATATAAATTGCCACCTCTTGGTCACTTAGGAGCCACGCTGGTAATCAGATTTACTGTCATGATATCCAGGTGCTTGTGTTCAGGTACCCTTATTTTACTTAATAAAGGCCTCAAAATGTAACAGGAGTGATACTGGCAATTCAGACATAGCAAAGGGAAGCTGTAGGTTGTTTCCTTTGTGTAGCTGAAAGTTCTCAATGGGAAAGAAAAAAAATCAGATGCTGAGATTGCAAAGGGATGCAGAATAATAAGATATTTTGAGAGATAAAGAGGATTTATATAACCTTCATTACAAATATTGTTCAAGCTTCTATTTTATTATTAGTTATTGTTGCTTACCTCTTATTGTGTTAACATGTTTGTTAAGCCTTACCATGGGTAGTTATGTAAAGGGGGAAACCTATTATAAAGTTCAGCTCTCTATAAGTTTCAGGCATCGCCTGTGGGTCTGTGGAATGTATCTCTGTGAATAAGCAGGAGAGTACTGTAGTTAAAGACAGATAATACAAGTATTGAGAAGGATGTAGGAAGGCTGGAACTCGTGCCAATTGTTGGTGGGAACATAAAATGACAAAGCCACTTTGGGACAGACTGGCAGTTTCTTAAAAAATGAAACATAAATTTTATCAATAGTCTACCCCTAGAAATCCTCCCAAGAGAAATAAAAACATATGTCTTCAGGGAGATGTTACAAGTGTTCATGGCAACACTGTTTATACTGTACCAAAATGAATATAATCTAAATGTCCACCCAGAGATGCATAAAGAAACAAAATGTGGTATGTGTGTAGGACGGAATATAATTCAACAATGAAAAGAGGAAATGTGGATACATGCTACAGCGTTTAGGAATCTCAAAAAACTATGCTAAGGGAAAGAAGCCAGATGCAAATCACTACATATGCGATTCAATTTACACACAATGTCAGGAAAGTAGGTTTATAGGGATAGAAAACAGATCTGGGGGGCCGAGGATTTAGCTCAGTGGTTAGGCCTGCCTCACAAGTGCAAGGACTCAAGTTTGATTCCCAGTACCAAGAAAAAAAAAAAAAAGAAAACAGATCTGTGTTTGTCTAGAATTAGGGCAGGGGTGGAGATAAAGACACAAAGAGGAAATGTGGGGGTTAATGAAAATGTTCTAAAATATTTATACATCTATACATTTATCAAAAATTCCCGAATCATATACAGTGGTACCTCAGTTCATGAACTTAATTTGCTCTATGATTTTGGAAAAGATGGCCATGTTTGTGCGTTTGTGTTCGTGCAGGAAGATGGCTGCACTCATGTCTGTCACCCACTGCAGAGTTTTGCAAAGCACTTCTTGGTTTTTTTTGGTACCAGGGATCAGACTCAGGAGCTTGCACTTGCAAGGCAGGCGTGCTGCTGTTAAGCCAAATCCCTGGCCCTGCAAAGCACCTCTGTCTGCAAGCCAAACTGTTTGTGAACAGAAGCGTTTATGAACCAAGGCAGTACTGTACTCAGAATGGGTGAATTTTATGATTCGAACAGCTGTCTCTCTAAGGCTATTAAAATGAGCTGTCTTGTTAATATCCAAAAGTCGTAAATGCACACTCGGTCTGGCAGGGGCCAGGCTGAGGAAAACAGCGTGTGGACAGGATCAAAGCCTTGAGGTACCAACAGGAATCGGTGTTGATACAGAAAGCAGGGCCACGCTAGGAACTCGAATGCACGACACCGGGCAGCTGGGCTGTGAGTGAGGGCTCCAAAGACGAGAAGAGGAGCAGCCAGAGAGGCAGAAGGAGAACCAGGTGAGTGGCACTTGGGAAGCAAAATAAAAAAGCAGGAGGGAGGATGAGCAGCTCAAGCTCAAGCAAGACTCGGCTTCCTGGCATCACGATGCTGCTGGGAGCCCCGTCAGTTCAGGATCAAGCACTGATGGTGAATTAGCAAACGTGCGGTCTTCACTGCAGCCCCTGAGCATCGTGTGAGGGAGGGCACAGATCCCCATGTTTTCTGCGTGCGTCCTCTGACACACCTGGGCTGGCCCTGGACCCCAGGGTGACCCCTGACACCCAGCTCCCTCCTCGCAGTCCCACATGCTATTGATTCCTTGGCCCATCTCTCCAGGTTTTGATGACTTCTAAAAACTTCCCCCAAATAACTCATCTACTTCATTAACATCACATTTCACTAGTTTCTGAGCTTTCTTTTGAGCCAATACTGAGAAACTGGCTCTGAAATGATACTTTAATCAGAGAACCTACCAAGAGTGAGTGGAAAACAGCTGTTAGTAATGAAGAAATTTATGTTCATGAGAAACAACTTAACTTTGGATAGTCCCTCCCCTAAGAGGGTACAAGATGAAATCATGGGGAACCGTGTATGTCTTACACTGGATGTTTACTTGACTTGGGCCTTGGGCATGTTCCATGAAATGATTTCTTCATTCAGAATGTCATGCCTGGACATATGTCCGATCAGTAGACGGGAGGCTGCAGCTTTCACTGTGTGTGTTAGTGCTGCTGTTCACTGGGGAGGTGGCACCCTGGCTAAGCGTTTGTGCAGTGTGGAAGGCCACCTGGTCCGGGTGCTGGTCTCAGGCTCTCAACGCTGCCTGGCTTTGGCAACACCTGGAGGCGTGCTATGGCAGCCCCGAGGGGCAGCCCAGACCCAGGGGAGAAGGACAAAGTCCGGGCAGGAATCAAACATCTGGATCCAGATGTGCAGACTTCATCTGAAGGACACAGAGGGTAAGCTGGTCAGGTGGGAGGTGAGCAAACCCAGGCCAGAGCGAGGCCTGGGGCAAAAAGAGAGAGGAGAGCTCAGGACACTGTTCATCTCCCCCCGCCCCGAGATGATTTCAGATCCTCACACTGCACAGGGGATGTGGAAGCGCAGAAAGGTTCCACTCAGACTCCTGGGCATGGGGGATGTTTCCAGACGGGGGGGACATGTATATATGGAGTTTTGAAAGTTGAGTAGCTAAGCTGGATGTGGTGGCACACACCTGTAATCTCAGCACTCGGGAGGCTGGGGCAGGAGGATCACTGTGAGTTCAAGGGCAGCCTGGGCTACATAGTGAGACCCTGTCTCAAAAACAAACAACAACAACAACAACAACAACAAAACCAAAGGACGAAGAGGAAGAGGAAGAGGAGGAGGAAGAAGAAGACTTAGAAAGTGGAGTAGCTAATACAAAAATCTAAACAAAAAACCCCAATAGATAAAGGATTAACCCACGGTGGGGAAGCCAGGAGAACTATCCCCTTGAGTGTTATTATTTTTTTGGGGGGAGGATGAGGAATGGCTGGATCAACAATGCTGTGAACTCTCAACTGGCTCTGTGTCTCCCATGGAAGATCTTCCACAAGTCCCTGAGAACACTGCTGGGTTACAGCACTGCCACTGTATCTTCCACGGGCCATTAGCTCTTAAGAGCAAGAGGGTCAGGCTGGCAGGTGTAGAGTGGTGTTATAATTTGGCCAGAGAAATCGAGTTCTGGAGGTCAACAGGTGAGAGCGTGAAGTTTTGCTCCATCTCTTGTGTTTATCGATGCACACTAGACCTAGTCTTCTAATCTATGAAACAAACTCTGATAATCAGACTGTTCTGATACTTAAGCAACAATACAGATAAAGACCTTAGCACCATGCCTTCCAGATTGCTGACTAGCTCCAAACATGATCTTAAATTCTCAGAGTCTGAGGCTGTCAGATTTGTCTTCCATTTATCTGTCTGCCTACCTGCCTTTTAATCCCTCCACCATCATAAAAGCCTCAGATAAATCAAACAGTTCCATAGCTTTCTCAGTTTTAACCCATGCAATCAACTTTGTTGTTTAGGCTGGATTTGAAGTTTCACCTGGGAAAATGCAAGTAAACAGTGTTTATAAATTAGTCATGAGCAAAAAGGTCCCGAGTTCGATCTCTGGTACCAAAAAAAAAAAAAAATCTCCTAAGAGGAGCTATGAGAGCCAGGAAAACAATACATTTCCATTGTTGAAGCCACTTTATGAATGATATTTTGTTATGGCAGCCTGGAGCTGACTAAGATAAATTGTAAGCTTCAGGAGGGAATACTTTTGAGTATTTAGAAAAAGAAACAGCCACATTCTGGTTCTGTTCTTAATAAGTCCTAACAGCTCTCTGTGTATCATTGCTTTTCCCAGGGTTGGACTTGAGATCAGCTGGCTTCCAAAATCCTCTCATTTGCAACAGTTACTTTATCCTCCCTGTGCACAGTGATACAGTGTAACAGGTAAGGATTGGAAAGTGTAACACACTCCCCTCACCCAATCCACTTTCGCTGAAAAGCAGTGAGTTAAGGGCAATGGTTTTCTTCACAACAGGCAAATAACTCATGGTGTTCACTGTAGAGTGAGTAGAGGCCAAAGTTCTTGGAAGGGGGAGGGAGTGTACAAGGAGTGAGTGTAGGCATCCTAAGCGACAAGGTCACCTAGGGTCTCAGAAATCTCCCTCATTTCTTCCAAGGTCAGATTCAAGCCCCACTCCATTGATGTATGCATTTCCCTTAACTGTGTCATCCTCCTTTGAATTTCTGCATATTTGATTATCTACACCATTTCTGTTTCAATAAATGCTTCCTAACTTAAGCATTTATAGAAATACATTCCAAATCTTAGACAAATACTGACCTTTAAAATGACAGAGTTTTGATAAAGTGGGATGGAGCAGTGGCCACACATGAAAAATAATGTCCCTAAAATAGGCATAGTGGTGCACATGTGCCCTGCCAGCACTCTAGGAGGCTGGAGGATCACCAGTTCAAGCCCAGCCAGGGCAATTTAGTGACTTAGCAAGACCCTGTATTTAAAAAAAAAAAAAAGGCCTGGGGATGTAGCTCAGTGTGAAGGTCCTGGGTTCAATCCCCAGGGCTGAAACAAACATACAAACCAACAACCCCAAGAAATTCTCGGATAGCACTGTGCTGAGCTCACAGTAGACAATTAATTTAATAAGTACCAGCTGGCCGGAACTGAGTGACACTCCGAGGGCCCCGCCGGGCCGGCACACTGACGAGCCGAGTCTGGGACTCTTCCTGTCCCGGCTCCTGCTGGGAGCTGCCATGGGCTTTTTCAGACACCATTTCCCCGGGGCCAGCTGTTGGTGGCTGTGGACAGAAGATCAAAGGTTCAGAGGTGCCCAGGGCTTCAGGTGGCTCAGTTCCTCACTGAGGACGAAGTTGGTCAGCAGTAAAAGGATGCTACTGAGAGCTGGACAACCGTGGTTCCTATCACCCGAGTCACTGTGGACAGCCACACTGACCCCCACCCTAGGAAGGGGAGCCAGTCCTGAGATTTTCTATGAGGTGTTAAAAATGAAATTACTGAGGGATGCCCAAATAAGATGGTCATTTTCACTTTCTGTAGGTAAAATGTATAGAGCTCTGCAGAAGAAAAAATCACAATCAAAGAATTCATTCCTAACCCAGATAGATTGGAAACAGCTGTTAGAGTGTTTTGTCCATCCGGGGCATTTGTCATCAGGGTAGATACTGAGCCTATACTTTGCTGCCCCAAGAGTACCCTGGAGCATCTTCCTCAAACTCTGATAGGAGACAAGAGGGAGATGGAGGGATGCCTTCCGGGCAGACAGACAGGGCTCGCTGCCAAACTCTGGTGTGGGCTTGGGACAGTTACTTAACTTCCTGGCTTTGCCTTTCCACCTGTGAAGCATGGAGCAGAGCAGTTGATTCTGACTGCAATGGATGACAGGTGGGCCTGGGGCGCTTCAGCAAGGCCATCCTTAGGGATCTCAGCTGAAGCACGGGTTACAGGACGGTCCTACACCTCCTGGCGGGTAACTGCGGAGACCTATTATATCCCGGTCTCCATCCCTGTGTAGTCTGGGCTTAGCTCTGTCTCCCGCAGCTCACTGTACCTGTGACTTTAGAGCTCAGGGCACAAACCGTTTTCATCTGCCCCTAGCGTCCCCTGGCCAAGTGTGCACAGCAGTGAGGCTATGCTGAGGAAAGGGTTAAAGCTCTGGGCGCAGGTCAGCTCCGGAGCGAGCAACCAGAGACTGGCTCCGCGTCTGGTGGCCGGGTGGCACCCCGCCTCCTGAGCCCTGCTCTGCACGGCCTTGGAAAGCAAGCACTGCAGGAAAGCAAGCAGGCCCTGGCCTGCGGGGGGTGCTGAGCCTGAAGGGCTGGAGGGAGGCTTCCTGCCCGCTGGGCTCCCGGGTGCCCTTCCCTGTTTTCCCGCTGGGCTCCTGCAGCCCCATTACCAAGTGACTGCTGGCCAAGATGGCGCTCCCCTTCCCGCCCTCCTTCCGGAGCTGGCATCCGAGGGGGCCTGGCCACCCCTTCCTTCATCCACATTAACCGCTTCCCTGCCTCCCTTCGCAGAGGACAGTTGCTCCTTAGCAGGGCCACAGAGTTACCTTGGAAAGGTTTGTCTCGTCCTGGCTTAAGAGGAACTCCTGCGGAGACGGGGGAGGGACGGAGCAGCCCGGGGCCAGGGGCTGGCTGCTGGCTCAGACTGAAGTGGAATTTGGCCTTGGGGTGAAGAAAGAGGGGTTCCCTGGGATCTGCAATCCTGCACTGCCATCTACTGCCAGTCCTTGGTTATGGCCCGAGTGACAACGCTGAAACACGCTTCATCCATTCTTGGTTGACTGCTCACAGGAGCCCGGAAGAAACTTAAAGGAAAAACGCTCCAAGTACAAACCACAGCCCTATCGTGAGGATCGCCCACCAGCCCGCACACCAGGGCTCCCACACCGGTGTCCATCTGCAGTCCCCAGAGCAGCCGGGAGTTTGTGCCCACAGGAAGGGTGCTGTTCCTGACAGAGTCGGTGTCCACCAAGGGGTGCAGGCAGGCCGCAGGTCACTGACACCATGCACAAGCAGAGCTTCCCTTCACCTCCTACCTGTTTCTTTTTTCGATGTCTTTCAGCCTTTGAATTCTTCTTCCACCTTCCCACATCTGCCTCCTCGTCATTTTCAGTGAACTCCTTTGTTAAAATGCAAAGGGAACAGGGGAGAGAATCTTATGAGAGGAAGCGGGGTATGATTTTCAAGTATCAGAATTAAAAACACCATGTTGACCTCGGGTCTGCATCCATGACATCAAATGTGAGCGAAGGAACAGTTAGCACAATCTAAGTGGCCGTCACATCTGCTCTTCTCAAAATAACAAGCTCTTGAAAACCTGAACCCAAGTGAAATAGTTGTAGACATGATATTGGAGTGCCGTTGTTGCAGGTCTGCATTTATGGCTATGAGATTTATGGGGCACTTACTATGTTCCAGCTCTGGGGGCCTCAGGACAGAGTACAGCACACTGCCCACTCACCATCAAAGAAAGGCAACTACCAAGGGAAGCTGTCAGGACAGACGGCGAGCCATAGCTCAGGACAAACATCAGACTCATGCCCGGGATTCCACAGCTGTCCTTTCCAGCCTCGCCGGCAGGTGAGGAAAAATGAAAACACAGCACATGCTAAATCACCACGAGAATCGTAACGCAGAGAAAAGTTTGGCAAATCTTTTTGAAATGGGAAAATCGCAAAGGTCATTTTCTTTGCACATTATACTTTTTAGCATTTTAGACAAAATATTAGAGCTGAAAACTTGAAAGTATCCAAGCCCTAAAGTTTTCTTGTCCTAGAGTTTTACAGAGTGGGTCATGAGCACCTGTGGAGTCAAGGAGAAGTTGCAAGATAAACGTGGACCCTCTCCTGGCAAACCAAATTCATTAGACCTCTTTTTCTAAAATTGTTGCTTTTTCTAAATATGTTGCTTTTATCCTAGAACACAAAGCCCGGATCTTAATGATATGAGAAGGTTTCAAAGAACTCGAATGCAGGTTGTGGGGCCAGGGCCCAACTACTGCTCCGTTCCCTAGGCCACTGGGCTTAGGGAAGCCAGGAGCTTCGGTTACGGAGGAGAGAGCTGAAGTCGACTGGAGCATGGCTTTGGTGGGGATTTTCCTGGTCTTTGCGAATGCTCTCCTTCCTCAGGGTCCACCAGATACAGCATTCTTAGCTTAGAGATTCACCAACTTAATTACGAGATGATGGTAATATGGAGGTGTGCAGGGATGGCTCTTTACACAAATCTGGTTTTGTTGGCTTAGAATGGACTTGTGAGAAGTCTAGGTCATTTTTTCCTTTCCAATAATATTTCATCTTTGATCATTAGAAAACTGACTGGTAAAACTTGCAATAAGATGGAATGGGAGCTCCATGCGGGCACTGGATTTTGGTCACTGTGGAATCCCCAGGGACTAGAGACACAGACAATATTTGTTTCATGCATCAGTGGGCAAATACAGAGCTGTGTGGCTTGTAGGTACTTAGTATCATGGTTAAAGTTAATCTGCATGGTTTTCATAATGTGTTCCCTGAGGAGTTTGGAAGCATTACATTGGAAACAGTGCACTTTCTCTCTCTGGTCTTTAACCAGTGAGCCCTTAAGCCCAGGGAGAAGCAAGGATCGAGAGGAGCAAGCATTCTCTCTGCCAAATTGGAGATGGTTTTCCTTCTGTGGGCTGTGCGGGGCTTTAGTGAGTTTGTGCACCATGAGACAGAAATTTCCAGGCTCGAGCACAGAGGGTTTTATTAGCAAATGTAATCAATGCAATCTACAACTGTGGCCTTCCTTCTCAACTTTATAGGAAAGCATGGTCTTCAGGCAGAGGTGGGCCCAGGAGCGGGTGGTGAGTGGGAGCTACTGTGTGCTGCAATTCAGTTTCACAGCATTTGTGGAAAAGACAGACAGAGGCGCCTATGGGCCTGCAGCACCCCTCACCACCCACCTCCTCTTCTCCACCATGTGCCTGAGAGGGAAGGCCTGGCAACTAAACTTGGCCTGAGGGTGCCTCCGTACTTGGAGTCTTTCCTTAAACTGCAACCTAACTTAGCACTAAGTAATTGAAAGCCTAACTTACGAGTATACACTGTAGCAAATAACTGAGTCTCACAATCACAGAAGCTCAATCAATCGGAGGTAGTCAATGGATCAGATCACGTTCAACTAAGGCAGCACTGAACTGCAACCAAGCAAGCATTTCCGTTAGTTCCTCACTTTCATTTCCCATCCTTAGATGCTCTCGAACCTCTGCTAGTTCTGAGTGCTATCTTACTCATAAAGTGCCTTGGTCCAACTAAGAGCTGTTAAATTGAATCTAACAGTTTTTTAAAACCACATGCAATTCATGCTTGTTGTTGGCCTTAAGTTTCTCATTAAAAAATACATCCCAAAGGGACATCGGAACAGCCACTTACCTCTGTAATTATTTTTACTTTCTCTTCCCTGGGATTCATTTTGTTTCCGATGGATCCTTAAGAAAGAAAAATGAAGAACTCAGGCATTTTTAAATCAACGAATTATCATTCTTCTTCCATTAACGAAGAGGAAGCTGACCTTGCCAGTTATCCAAGTGTGTGAACTGAGAAGGCTGTGTTCACAGGAACCCAGTACCTGCAGACTGGGTGGAAGCAAGCACTGGAGCAGAAGGAAGGGAGCCAGTGGCTTTGCTGTGCACATCTGTGGAGTCAGCTCCATCATTCCTCCTCTCCCCTAACTCTTCCCCTCCTTTGTCTCACTCAGCAGAGAGATGAGACCATAGAGAAACCCAAAGCCCTCACCTCACCCACCACCTCCTGAGACATGCCACCCTCCTGTTTCTCCTTGCCTCTGTGAGTGTCCCTACTCCTGTCTAGCCAGCTGCTCCACCTGTCTCTCAGTCGCCACCACTTCTCTTCTCCAGGTCTCTGATCTGGACAACTCCCCCTGCATTCACCTGGACAGTCACTGCCTCCTGCTCCACCAGCTCAGGCCTATTAGTGTCAAAGTGTCGTAACTTATCCATTCCTTTAAAACCAAAGCGCTCTCTTGACTTTACTTGTCTTTCTAGCAACTGCTTACTTTTTCAACCCCTATAGAAAATTCCTCAAAACATTCCCTCTTTCTAATCATTGTTTTTTGGGGGATCTGCCACACCCTAAAATTGCTCTTGCTGAGTCTCCGAAGACCCCTGCACTGCCTCAGTTCCCATTGTACTTGACCTCATCAGAGGCATTCAGCGATGAAAGCGGCCCATCATTTCCTTTCGGATACTTTCTTCATGTGACTCTTGGGGTAAGTTGCCTCCTGGTGTTCTTTCTACTTCTCAAAATCCTTTACGTTTTTTTCCTCATCTTCTAACATCAAACACTGGAATGTTCTGGGATTCAGCCTGACCTGCCCACACTCGCCCTGCTTCTTGGCTTTCTGTGCTGTCTTTGTACTTCCTGTATTGACATCCTGAGTCCAGACATCTCCCCAGAACTCCAGACTCAACTGTGTGACTACTTGATGGCCAGCATCACTTGCCTAACAGGCCCAAACACAGTTCTTGGCTTTTACCCTTATGCTGCTTGTGCTGCAACCTTCCTGTCCCAATAAGTAGAAATCCACTGTGCACAGCCCAGAAACCCTAACTCCTCTCCATCTCTCCCTGACATTTCATATCTGTAGTGTTGAACTGGAGGTGTCAACTTGACTGGATGAAAGAATAACTAGAAATCTGGAAAGGCATTGTTTTGGGTGCACCTGTGAGGGCATTTCCAAAGGAGGTCAGTGTGTGAGTCTGAGGGGACTAGATCAGGAGGACCTGTCTTCAATGCACAACCTACGCAGCTGGTGACCTAGAGAGAGCAAATACAGAAAGTGAATTGGTCTCTCCCTTGAACCCTTAAGACTTAGGACATGATCTGTTATGGGCTATATCTAGATGTATCCCCAAAGCCTTATGCACTCATAGGTGGGGCTTTCGGGAGGTGGCTGGATCATGGGTGTGGGATACTGAATTAAGGATGTGATAAATGGATTAATTTACTGATTGGCTTAGCATAGTTCTGAGTGTGGATAATGGGAAGGCCCATCCTAGGTGTGGGTGTCACCAACCAATAGACTAGTAGCCTGGATGGAATATAACGGGCAGGAAAGGAGGAAGGCTGGTGCTCACTGCTACCTGTCTGCCATGATGCCATGGACTGTTTCTCCTCTGTCATTCCCTGTTGCCACACAGCCTTGTCTTGGAGCCAGGGAAACCTTGAAACCCTTGAAACCTCTACTGAAACCTGTGAACTAAAATAAACCTTTCCTCCATTAACTTGTGAGGGTTGGATATTTTGTCCTAGCAATGAGAAAATTAATGAAGGCATGAACCTTTCTTGAAGTCCAGGCTCTCTGGCCTTGGAACCCCAAGCCTTACACCAGCATCCTCTCTGAATCTTAGACCTTCTGCCTCGAACCCAGTTCTACCATCAGCTTCCCTCATGCTGAGGCCTTTACACTTGCTTTGTGTCACATGTCAGCAACCCAGGTGCCCTGTTGTGGGACTACTGAGCCGAAGTCAATTTCCAAAAAAATCTATATCTATATCTATATCTCTCTATATCTATATCTATATCTATATATCATATGATTTCATCTCTTTGGGGAACCCTGAAAATACAACATTTAATCCTTTGAAATCCTGCTAGCTTTGGCTTCAAACTGTATTCAGGACAATTGCTTCTATAGAAGGACCTTCACTATTAACAACCTGGTCAAGAATCACCTTCTCCCATGCAGGTGACTGCAAGAATCTCCTCATTTCTCTGCTTCCCACATCGCACACTTATAGTATTCTCTGCAGAGCGAATGGCTGCAAATTTAAATGTGATTATGTCTTTCCACCAAAATCTTCCAGTGATAGACCTTTGCCAACTGGGTCAAATCCAACATTCTTTCAAGGTCTTCCAAGGCCTTATCAATTTTGCAGTTGAACCCTCTGCCTCAGGACCTCTGTGTTTTAACTATTCCTTCTACCTAGAACTCCCTTTCCCTAGATATCTCCATAGATCTTTCTCTCTCTTTCACTTCCTCAGGTCTTTGATAAATTCTAATTTTCTCAGAGAGGTCTTCCCTGACCATCACAGGGTAATGAAAACTTCTCCTCCCCACCATCCCGGAACTCTTAGTACCTTACAGCAATTGCCTTTCCCACGGTACTTACTGCCAATCAACACATGTACTTATTTGTTGATGTCTGCCCAGCACTGTTAGAAAACAGCTATAAGAGGGCAGGGACAGAACTTTATTCATTGTTTACTGCCGAACCTTGGCTCATGACACACAATAGATACTCATCATATACTTGTCAAATGGAAAATCAAGTTACTACTCATTGGCTGTGTCCTCATGGCTGTGTTCTGGGAACCTTTTAAAGCTTTTTATCCTCTCTAGGTTGATGTGAAAATGAAACCATCTGATGTATGGAGAAATTTCAGGCACAGGGTTGGGGCTGCCTACGCCCTTCCTAATATGAAATCCAGTTTTAGCTGGAAGATTAACTTGCCCTTTTGTAGGAAGACTAAACTCCCACTGCCTCAGCAACAACATTAGCCCATTCATGAGGGGCGGGCCCCTCCTTAGGCTCCTCCTCCCAACACTGTTCCCAACACCTGCTTTCTGGGGATGCACTTGAACCACAGCACATAGCATGTCATCAGGGCCACAGGGAAGCACAAATGTCACTCTTAACCAGCTCATCCGAGGTGTTCCATGTTTGCCTGACCCCCCCGGGGAATTAGCATGTTAAAGGGAAAGAAAGCATCAGAAAGCCCATTGTGTCTCATACAGACCTCAAAAGGTACAGCAAGTAGAAGAAGCAAAAAGATGAGAGCCAATCAGGAAATAAAGAGGCAAGAAGAGAGGTAACCGGGGAGAATTAAGGATGAAATGCTGAAGGACCTGACAGTTCTCCAATAAACAACTCTGGTCAGCACAGAATAGAAGGCAAGAGCTGAAATATTTTAGTAAGTAAAAAATGATTCTCTATAAATTAAAAAGTCTTACAGAGAAGGAAAAAATAGAAGTAGGAAATAACAAATGTAACAAATTGCTTTTTTTCTCCTCATTCTTTCCTGATCATCACCTTTGAATGAATTTCTAAGGAAATCAAATGACACCCAAATTTATTTTTCTTATGAACGCTGTAGCTAAGAAAAGATAAATCAGTCCTACTTCACTTTAATATGCCACCTGTCACCATCATTTTCATTGGGCACTTGTTAATCTGTTCCTATTGGCAACACCAAGATCAGAGCTGTGATTTACTGCAAACTCATTTTGTGCTACCTTTCGATGTACATTCTCTTTATTCCTTGCATTGACACTTCTAGTGTAGCAGTACAGACACCAATTTATGTACAAGGGAACTGAGACTCTGACAGGTTGTATGATTTTCCCAAGGTTATAGTTATTAACACTCAGCTTCCCTCATGCTGAGGCCTTTACAGGTTATAGGTTGTAGTTATTAACACTCGCATTCAGATTTTGACCTCAAGACTGTGGTTCCAAATTCCTCCCCATCCCTCAGCATCTTCATCATTTATTCAGGCTTTTGCAGGGTTATCAGTAATGATTCTTCCCTAGACTTTTCTGGAAGTATTTACAACTGGAAGCTGGGAAACATTGTACCAGTGGGAAAGGGCTTAGGCTATGTGAGGTCAATGATTTGTTTTACTCAGTGTAGAACACTCAGTGTAAAAATATAGTTTCAGGGAAAGTTCCGACACCTTCATCTGAACAAAGGGGTCCTCCTGGATCAGAGCCACAGCCAGAGGGCTGTATACTAAGGAAACCTACCACGTGTAGGGGAAGGAATGGAGGCATGGGAAAGGGGCAGCATTGTGTACAGAGTAGCTCATTGCACAGAATTACAGCGAAACCATGTGTTTCTAGAAACAATGAGGACTTGGTAAAAAATTTTATGGACCTGGGTTCAAATTCCAGCTTGACTTATCAGAGGTGTGATCGTGGAGCAATGCCTCCACTTCTCTGGGAACATTTCTCTGTAAAATCATGATTACACTGTCTACTTTGAAGGGTGATTCGTTCATAGAAGCTCCATGATACAAAATGGATAGTAAAATGCCTAGCATGGACCGGGTTCTCCCTATTGGCGGGTCTCATTACTAAGGAGAAGCTGGGTGTGGTGGTGCATGCCTGTAATTCCAGCACTCTGAGAGGCTGAGGCAGGAGGATCTCCAGTTTAACCCCGAGCCTGGGCAATTTAGCAAGACTCAAAAGGAGAGATAAAAAGGGGTGGGGATGCAGCTCAGTAGGAGGGTCCTGAGGTCAATCCCCAGTGACAGACAGACAGAAAGACAGACAGGCAGGCAGGCATGCACGCACACACACACGCACATGCACACACACACACACACACACACACACACACGAGGTGATGGTACACAGGGAATGTGAAAGAAAGGGCTGAGGAGGGGGAACAAAGGAGAGTCATAAGAGAAGCCTAATGGGATATTCGAGCCCCACTCCCCTCTTTAGCTCTCGCCTTCCCCACCACCCCATCGCCACCTGCCTCCCTCCAGCCAGGCCCAGGGCCCTTGCTTTTCCATCTCCTCTGTGAGGAGCTTCTGAAACTCCCCACCTTCTACCCCTTTGCGTTTTCTCCCTCCATTCTGAGTGCACGTTCCTGTCACCTTACAGAGTCTCAGAAAGCTTAGCAGGTACCACATGGCTCTTTTTGCCTGTATTACCTAATTCTATAAATTATTCCAGCCACAGCTTTCCTTAGTATGAGGCTAGTGACAGAGAGCTCTGGAGAACTACTGGCTCAGATGTGCATAATTTACATTGCCCTGGAAGGGTGCATATAGAACCAGAGTTATGCTGTGCTGTGTGGTGCAGAGCCAGGGGGCTTACAGGACAGACTACGTGCTGAGCGCCCCTTTCTGGAAGGAACCCTGCCATGCTCCGAGGGCTGAGATCTTTTCATAAATCTCCTGTGGCACTTAGCTCATTGTGCTGTTATTATCAGATTATGGGTCAGTAGACCCAGCAAACCCATTTCTCATCTGGTCTAATTCAGTTTTGCACACTCTAAATCGAAGCACACACCTGGTGCAACATTGATGCCCCATAAATGAGCTCTAGATGTTCCATTCTGGCACTGAATTTATCTGCAGAAAGGTTTATATAAAAATGCAATCGTGGATGTATATTTCCCATATGAGTTTATTAACTGCTCACAGCACTTCTTTCCAAAGAAGGGGAAAAATCTGTCTGCACCACAGCTGGGAGGTTTCCCCCGAGTCTTCTGGAGCCCCGCATCCTCAGCCTTGCGCTCAGGAGCCCTTTCTCTGTCCAGTGCCAAGAAAAGGGAAGCTAGTAAGTAAGCAGCAAGTCCTACTTCTGCCCTTGAGCCAGTTCAAGCTAAAAGGCTCAGAGATGCAACAGGCAGCAAATATTTCACAGAGGATTGGTCGGAGAGGATTTCCACTGGGGAATTGTGACGAACTGGATTTGCATTTCCTGCAGGGCAGACACAGCTCGAATCAAAGCCGCCCGGTGCAGTGGTCTAGGTTTTCATTTTGGGGGATAAAAATGCAAACAGTGAGCCTCTCCCTTTACAGTTCTTTCACTCCACTGTCTGCCGACCCAGGCAGAACTCCACACCAGTAAGTGAAAACATGAAACCACTGGGCCCCCTGAACAGATTTACCTTAAGGAACTTTACAGATGGCTCTTGCAGATTCTGCTCACTTTCTGGAGTGGAAGGGAAGAGGCCAGAGACTGGTGAGGTCAGGCTGTTGAATCTTCTGAGTCCAAAGGGAAGGGCTGAGTGGAGGGGAGGCCTGGGCTCCCTAGGAAGCCGCAGCCAAGTCTCAGGCAAAAACACCAGCTTAGCAACTGGTTCCTGGGAGGTCACTTGCAGCTTTTTTTTCTTTTAAAGTGACAGTTCACTTCTAGTCACGGAGTCCAAGGGTGCTGGGCGTGCAGCGGAGCACAGCCTATAGAATTCAACTTAGCGGTTTCGAATCAGAAAAGATGTTCCTAGACGGTGACGATGTCTGACTGAGCAGTAGCAGTCTCTGTGGGGTTGCCCAGGGCCCTGGTGAAGGCAGTGTTTTCCAGCTAGACATGGAAGACTGAGTGCACGAGTTTAATCCCTGCTCATTCTCCGCATCCCACTGCAATTACTCAAAGGGAACATGAATGTTAGGGTTCAGAAAGGCAAAGGGAATGGGAGGGTACATGAGGCGAGCAGCCTGCGGGAAGCCGCACCCTAAGTGCACTGTGCGTGCATGTGTGTGTGTGTATGTGTGTGTGGGCACGCGCAGGTGCACTGACTATATTTCCTTATTTTCTATGTCTTGATGCTCTGGCTTTTGCTGCTTTGATCCTGGAGAGATTGACTCTCCCAGGAAACCTAATTCTTAGAGAGAGCAACTGGCTCCCCTGACATACACACACTCTCCTTTGACAGACAAGCCAACCAATCCCAAACCCATCTCCTTTATCAAACTCACACGAGGGAAATATTGGCCACATCCTCCACCACCCCAGGCCCAGGCACCAAACGGCTATGGACCCCTTTGTAGTCCAGAGCTCACAGAAATGGATCAAACTGTCCAGGTCTAAATGTACCCAATACACCCACCTGGCTCACCTGCACCTTCCTGGCAAAACCTGAAAAGGCCCTGGGCTATCTTTTACCCTCCTCCCGGTCTCCTCCTGGTGAACACTCACTCATCCCCATGGCTCCGAATGGGGTATTACGGGCTATGGTTCAAACGTGTCCCCCCAAATCAGGAGTTGCAAACATGATTCCCAGTGCAGCGGTGCTGGGAGGAGGAGCCCAGGGAGGGGCTCTTCCCTCACGAAGGGGTCAAGGCTATCACTGTGCTAGATGGGTCCCTACAAAAGGACACGTTCAGCCTCCCTTCTCCCTCTCTCCCTCTTACCTTCTGCCATGCCACCATGTGACATGAAAGCCCTCACCGGATGCCAGCCCCTCTGCCTTGGACTTCTTAGCCTCCAGAACTGTAAAAAATAAACTTCTATTGATTAGAAGTTTCCTAGTATATGACATTCTGTTTTACCAGCATGAAAGAGGTTAAGCCACTATGGCTCTTATTTCTAGCGACCTGTGAGTATGAACTTCTTTCTTCATGACAATCACTTCCACGCCTGCCTGTCTTTCCATATGTGTCAGCTTGACTGAGTAAGACCAGCCTAACAGATTAGCAAAGCCCTGGGTGTGTCTGTGGGTGATTGACATGTAGACGAAAACTGAGGAGGGAAGACCCATCCTCATCGTGGATGGCACCAACCAATAGGCTGTAGCCTGGATGGAGTAAAAAAGGGACACAGGACGCCTTCTCTTTTCTTCTTCAGAGGAGCTCTTGTCTTCAGTCTCACCTTTGGATGTTCATTGCCAGTTCCTCCAGGCTTCCAGGGCAGCCTCTTCAGCGCAGACTCTTTGGCTCTGTGAGACAGACTCACACAGACTCTGCAGTGAGCCTTCGAACTTCAATTGGATCCCTTGGATCTCCAGAGCTCAGTTGACCACTTTGCATTCTTCCATCCCTGAGGCCACAAACAGTCATTGTAAGTCTACCTAGTGAAACCTTTAAATATTTTAAAAAAATATGTATTTATGTATTAAATATTTTCCTCTAGTGAACCCTGACTAATACACTACAGCTTATTAAAACAAATCCAGAGTTCATTTTTTAACACAGTATGTATATATGTGTCAGCATGTTTGTGTGGTATGTGTTTCTCTGTATGTGTCGTGTGCATCTCAGTGTGTATGCGTGTGTGTGTGTGTGTGTGTGTGTGTGTGAGAGATGGGGGTGCAGATAGGTATGAGAAAGAGAAAACGAGCCAATCTACTTGGCAGACATCCAGAGGCTCCACAGCAGAAGTGTTACGGGCTGAATTTTATGCTCCCCCAACATATGTTGAAGTCTTCACTTCCAGTATTTCAAGATCTGACCTCATTTGGACATAGGGTCTTTACAGAGGTAATGGAGTTAAAATGAGGTCATTAGGGCAGAACCTAATCTAAAAGCATCCTGTCCTGAGAAAGAGGGGACATCTGGACACAGAGATGGGCACAGAAGGAAGATGAGCAAAGCCACAAGACAAACACCACCAATATCAAGCAAGAAACACTTAAACCGGAGGTAGGAGGTCACTGGACAAGTTCTCACTCACAACTCTAGAGAGGAACCAAACTTGCCAACACCTTGGTTTGGGACTTCTAGTCTCCAGAACTGTGAGACAGTGAATTTATGCTTTTTAGAGACACTCAGTGTGGGGTACTTACTACTGCAGCTCGTGCAACCAGACACCAAGGAAAGTGGAGCGTTAGAGACAGATGGAAATGCAGGAAGATTTGGAAGTTTGCATTTGGAGGGCTGCATCTCAGGCCCTTCTTGATTCCTGGCAGCCAGAGCAGTCACACCCTCCCACCACCTGCCTCATCTGCAGCTGTCCGGAGGGGGCTGAAGGCTTCTTCTCTAGGGAAGTGGAGCCTGATACTGAGTACCCTCAAGTTCCTAGGTATGCAAAGCTGAACATGCCTCAGGGCTGCTAAATGCTTTTGAAATGGCAAGATTGTTGGGGCTTTCAAAGATGTCTTCAAGAACTTTGGCAGCCATTGTTGCTCTTACCAGTGTGGAATTGGAAAAAAATGGGAAATTTTTTTTCTGAAGAAACTGTGTGAATACAAGGAATGGACCCCAGACACTCGCATTTCTGGATCTTTGCATGAGAAAGCAGATTGTCTTTATAGAAAGCATTAAAACTTTTTTGAATAGTCTCAGGCTAAGAAATTCAATACTTATTATAGAAAGAGAGAACTAAGAAAATGGAAAGGTAGAATTTATCAAAGGAACAATACAAGAAAAGCTGTTGGAGAGGGAAGAATCAAGCCTTCAAATCGAGAGGGAATATCTATTTTGGCACAGAGAGAAGAAAACTTGTTTATCTCATTCTGTGCTCTGTATGTGACGGGGAAAACATTCTCTAGAGAATTCCTAACTACTGACTTGAACCATGTACTTCACCTGCTTTATTTATGCTGTCGCTAACTTTTAGGAACACTCTAAGACAGCAGTCCCCAATCTTTTTGACACCGGGGGCTGATTTTATGGAAGATAATTTTTCCATGGACCAGGGGAGAGGGACGGGGTGGTTTCTGGTTAGATTCTCATAAAGGAGCACGCACCCTAGATTCTCGCATGTGGTTCACAGTAGAAGGTATGCTCCTGTGAGAATCTAATGCCTGCTCCATCCAATGGGACAGTGATGGCGAACCTTTTAGAGATCGAGTGCCCAAACTGCAACTCCAAACCCACTTATTTATTGCAAAGTGCCCAAAGTGCAATTTACCCTAAATACTGAGGTTTTAGTTTAGGAAAAATGACAGTTATCTGGGGCTCGGCTGCTGGAGCGACTTGGCTCAGCACTGATAGAGAAGGCTCTGCATGCCTGCTGTGGCTTGCGTGCCCAAGGTTTGCCACCACTGCCACTGAGGGTGGCCATCAGGGCATAACAGGAGCCACGGGGACCGCTGCAAATGCAGGTGAAGCTTTGCTTGTTTGCTCCACACTCACCTCCTGCACAGCCCAGTGTCTGATGGCCACAGATTGTTACTGGGGTTCGGGGACCCCTGCTCAAAGGGATACATTTTAAAAAGTGGCCTCAGGCTACTGTAGCTCTTGCGAGCTGATGCACCTTCAAGTAAGAGTCCAAGATGTTCACAGGCAAGCCTTAAAGAAGTTGAGCTCAAATTCCCAAATTAGACAATGCAAGCAGGAATTCTCTGGTCAATAGACAAGCCAGAGAGTGTTATTAGATACCTAGGGATTTTGTATAATACAACCATTAGATGGAGAATGTAAAAAAAGCAAAGAAACAAACAGACAAACAAAACAATGACCAAAAGTTTAGGAGAATAACAAGAAGACTTGCAAATATGAAAGAAGAGGGAAGCACTATGGCATGACTATGCCATAGGCTGCTTATTTGTCCCTCTGTGGCTGGACCTGTGGGTTGTGTCCGTCACAGCAACGAACATTTGCATATGAGTATTTTCCTGAGTTTCTGTCTTCAGCTCTGGGTGTGCGCTGAGGGTGGAGGTGCTGGATTGTATGTAGATTATGCTTAACTTTCTGAGAAACTTAAAAGCTGTTGGGCTGGGGATTTAGCTCAGTGGTTTCGCAGCCTGCTGCGCAAGCGCAAGGACCCAAGGTCGATACCTGGTACCAAAAAAAAGCTGTTTCCTAGAATGGCTGTGGCCTTAAACAGCCCCACCCTCGATGCACAAGAGTTCCAATATTTGCCTATTCTCACCAACAGTTGCTATTTTCAGTTCTTTTGATTACACTATAGTAATCCTGGTAGCTTTGGAGAGGAATCTCCTAGTTTTTTTTTTTTTTTTGAGGCAAGAAATATCTTTAATTTTTATTATAGGAGATGCTGAAGGAAGTGTCATCTTTGTATGGAGTCAATAGTACAGGCCAAAGACGGACGGGCTGTGGAAGCCAAGAACCCCAGCATCTCGTTAGAGGAGTTAAACGGCCAAAGTCTTGTGTTACAACCCAAATGCTAGCCTTTTGTCTTCCAGATGGTCTCAGATACAGATTTAACCCTTCAGGAGTTCTGGTAGGAACATGACAGCATTCTTTCCTGTGTGGGGTTAAGTGAGAAATCCTGGGCCAAGGTCTCTCTAAGGATCCCGAGAGCTGCCTATTTCATAAAGTCAGAAGTAGACAGGAGCTGGATGTGGTGACACACACCTGTAATCCCAGCACTTGAGGCAGGAGAATCATGAGTTTGAGGCCCAGCCCACCTGGACTACATAGTGAGACTCTGTCTCAAACACCACCACCACCAACAAAAAGTAGACAGAAGAAACACAGGC